GATTGTATGAAGCAGTGCCATGGACCTATGACAGTTCTCTGGGCAAATCCCACTTCTGGGGGCTCAGTTTTGTCATATGGACAGTGAGGGAAGAGGTAGTTTACCTCCAAGGTCCATTGGTTAGATAACAAATGTTAGATGACCTCAGACAGCCCATGGCTTAGGATACAAGGCCCAGATGTTAATGGGAAAAGGATTCCACGGTAAATTCAAAATCTTGAGACTGGGCACCCTGACCTAGGAAAGTCAAGCCCAAGGCAGAAACAATACATATCTCCTCTACCCCAACAGTATGTCCTTGCTGAGGGCTCCCTCTTCTGGTGGACAAGAGAAACATGTGCTTTCCCATGCCTCAGAGTGAGGAGGGAGGCGGCGGCTCCTTCCAAAGAGAGGTGGGGCAGGGGAGGGCACAGGTCCACTAGGTCCGCCCTCAGCTCCCCACAGCAAACAGCAAATGCTGATGTCGTGCTTACTGTGTGCTAAGCACTATTTTATTTTTATTTATTTATTTTTATTTTTATTTTTTGAGACAGAGTCTCGCTCTGTCACCCAGGCTGGAGTGCAGTGGTACAATCTTGGTTCAATACAATCTCCATCTCCAGGGTTCAAGTGATTCTCCTGCCTCAGCCTCCCAAGTAGCTGGGATTACAGGCGTGTGCCACCACACTGGGCTAATTTTTATATTTTTAGCAGAGATGGGGTTTCGCCACATTGGTCAGGCTGGTCTTGAACCCCTGACCTCAGGCAATCTGCCTGTCTTGGCCTCCCAAAGTGCTGGGATTACAGGCGTGAGCCACCGTGCCTGGCCACTAAGCACTATTTTAAATACTTTACATATATTAACTCACAAATACAGACTTTTGTTTTCTATCAATAAAAGCGATATATAAAGTTATAAAAATACACTGACAACAGTTCCAAAAGCATCATTATGGCATTTCTTCATTCTTGGTAATATCAAGAGCCATGAAAACAGCAGTGGTCTGGGCCTCTTTTCCTCAGGCTACTTGAGAGGGCATGAGCTCAAGAAGTCTCCAAAAGCCTACCACCTCAGCCTAGCATTTCATTTGCTGTTAGAGAGGCTGAAGCAACTCCGTTAAACTGTGTCTGCACCCAAGAGGCCATGTTGGGAATGCAGAAGAGGAGAGGGATCTGGGTACCTTGAACTTGGTGGGGTGGTTGTCCGGAACGCTGTCTCTGTTCAGGCAGCTGCAGCAGCTCCCCATGGTGTCAGAGCAGCCAGCCTGCCCTAGGAAAAACATAAGGGATATGCAGGTCACTAACTTCTGATTCAAAAAACCCTGCTCTGGGGAACTCTGGCAGAAGCACCTCACTGTGATCACCCACTCTGTCCAAGAGACTGTGTGACACAGACCCTCCCTCAAGGACTTCACACTCTCAATCCAGGACCAGACACACACTGGATAAACATTAATCCAAGTTAGAATGTGTTAAAGATGAATGCTGATGGGGGGCTGGAGAGAGCTTTTCAGAGGTAACATTTGATCTGAACCTTAAGAAGTATGTAGGATTCTGACCCATGTAATGACAAGGAAGGGAGGGACATAGGCAGGAAGAAAAGTAGGGGCCCATAAGAAGTGATCTGCAGCAGATGGAGGTGGGTGCCATCCCAAGGCCCTTATTTGGATTCAGCCAAGAAACTGTCACTTGGGGGTCTCAGACACTTTGGCCTATACCTGTCTCTTTTTTCCTCCCTTTTTACCTCATCCATTCCACATCATCCAAGCTCTCTCTCCGCCCTTACCAACATCCCAATATCCAGGGCAAATTTATCTTTTGATGTCCTCTTCAAATAAGTTGTTACACTGTGATCATAAAGATATATTCAGAAGACTGAACGTTTAAAAGAGTGCACAATTTTAATAATCTCAATTGGATAAAATGCTGGGCTTGCTTCCCTTTGAAGGGGAGACCAGAGGCCTTACTATTTGGCTTTTCCCTCCAGGATTCTGGTACTTGGATTATACATCACAATAGTCAGGCCTGTGCCTAGAATGAAGAGGACACCACCCAGGCTTGAATGATGGAAGAGAACAAGAAATGCATGGACCAATATCGAACAGAAGTTTTAAGGGGTGGCAACTTGTCGCAAAAAATGAGTCTATAGGATTAGCTATCCTTCTGGAACTCCTGCTGAATGGTAAAGCCTTAAACAACCAGGTGACCTGTACCCTCTGTTTGTCCCAACTTGGGAAATGCCATAAAACTGACTCCTATACACAGCTCTTACCTCACCCAGGCCATCGGGGAGCTGACCATGGGAGGGGCATGGGGAAGGATTCCACTTTATTCCCTGCGTCCTTGGTGGGCTGTCATGGCAAACAGTCTGCAGAGAAGTTCACCCGGATCCCTCTGGGATACACCTGGGGCTCACCTAGCACAGGAAACAGAGACACTGGTTAATAGAAACCTATCTTCATCCCCAACTGTTAATGAAACTGACCTGGCAGTTCATCCTACCTGGATACCTGTTCCAGCCCTAATGGGACAAAAACACCAATGAAGGAAGTAAAATCAAGGACAAAGAGAGCACAAATTCCAAGTCCCATGGACCTGAAAGGTACAGACTCACAGAGCATTAATGAGTTTGAAGTCTAAGGGGACCCAAGGCCTTGTAAGTCACTTTAGATCTCACTTTGAGTCCTGTTACAACAAACACCAAAACCACCACCTTACCTTTGCAGAGAACTTTAACTCCACAAAGAGCTTTCTCAAAAGAACACTGTGATATAGGAGAAAGAGCACTGGTTTAAGATTCAGGAAACCAATATTCTGGTCAGTTTTGTTGCTACTAAGTATCTGGGAGACTTAGGTCAACACTCCCCCAAGTCCCAGCCAAGGCCTTAGTTTTGGGGGCAACTGACTATAAACTGTGGACCTTCTAACGTAAATAACTTCCAGAGGCAAAAATGTAAGACAAACATCACTAAAATGGACATGCTCCTCTTTCAAGACAGGCTGATTCAATTTCGAATTTGGAAGCTTAATAGATTTTCTGCTCCCCAAGTTCTAAAAGGCCTAATTTTAACATAAATATTAACAGTAGCCAAAATTTCAGGGCATCTGAGCCCAAGGTAGACAAGTCAACAAGCCAGGACTCTGCAGGCCCTGGACATCCACATTCCCGCTCTGGAGAAACAATACTTCCCAGGGCCCCTTGCACCCTGCATCCTTGGACAACTTCCAGGTAAAAGGACGCCATCCCCTTGGTCTGGCTTATTCTCTGGAAGAAGCAGGCTCAGGGAGGTGTGCACAGACTAAAGACAGGTCACCGGGAAAGTTCTGGGGCTGGAGCCACCGACCGGGGCGGGGCGGGGGCACTGAAACCAAGCACTCTAGGGTGCAAGATGGGGGAGGGGTTGCATTTCCCTATCACCATCTCTTCTCTTTAAGATATCAGGACGTATTGGCCCACTGAGGAAGGACTGCATTGGGTGGAAAGGGGGAGAGGGCTCTGGTCTGGGATAGGTATGGATCAGGGGCAGGAGTTAGAGAAGGTGTTGGGGCTGATAACGTATGAGGAGGTTTTGGGAAACACGAGCAAGAATTTTGGATGTGGGCATTTTGGATAGCGCAAGGAGAATGGGGATATGAGGAATCCTAGGAATTTCTAGGCAGTGGAAGCATTTGGGGGCATCCAAGAGAGAATGGTGGGTCTGTGGGCATAGCAGGAGATTTGTTGAATGAGTGAGGGGGTTCTGAGGGCTTCAGGAGACGCGATGGTGTGTCCAGGGTGGAGAGGGTTGAGGTAGGGTTTGGAGAGCCAGAGGCTGCAGGACAGGCTGCAGGACTGCCAAGGAGAATTTCTAGACGCCAGTAAGGAATGGGGAGGTCGGGGTGCGCGGCCCCCGGATCCCCGCCCCCAGCCCCGGTGCTTCGCCACCCGCCCGCCCGGGGCTTCCTAGGGAGGGAGTGGAGACTGCGGCGCGGCGCGACAAGGCCTCGGTGAAGCCGCTTCGTCCCCGCCCCGCCGCGCCCCAACTCACATCGCCCCGCGGCCCAGGCGGCGCCGGGCCCCGCTCCCGGGTCCCGCTGCAGCAGCCGCCGCCCGCCCGGAGCTAAGGCCTCCCCGCCCCGCCCCGCCGCCGCGGGGTCGGAGGTCACTGGCAGCACCAACGAGACGCTGCAGGCGGGCGGACCCGAGCGGGGGCGACCGGCGCGCAGCCTAGAAGGTCCCTTTGGAGGACTTTGCTGTCGGGAGCAAGGAGCATGCGCAGACGCCAGAGGGCGCTGCTGGTCAGGGACTGAGCAAGCCCGGCGGGGACAGGGCGGAGCCTGCGCCGGGGGCGGGGCGCAGAGGCGGTGCTAGGGTAACCAAAGTTGGGGGTGCTCCGGGGATCGGAACCGGGAAGGAGGGTTAGGCGAGAAACAAAGGGAAGGGGAAAGGGTCTGAAGAGACCTGAAGGGAGAAGGGCAGGACGAGGGACCCCGGAAGAGGGCTGAGAAGAGACGGGCCCAGGGGGACCACAGGGGACAAGGGAGAGAGAAGTGAAGGGAAACACGCGGAAGGGCGGGGCTGCGAGACCAGAGGAAGAGTTTGGGGGGACCTGGGAACTGCGGAGAGACAGAGCTGCGGGCCCGGCGAGGCGTTTCCATTCAGCGAGTGGTTGAGAACCCAGTGTAAACGCGGCTCCCGGCGTCTGCTGGATACCCACCCGGCGCAGTCCGGGCCTGAAGCCCCTGCACCTGCATGGTGGAACCCGCACATTTCCACCCTGAAATTCCACAAATGTGCCCGCTTGCGTGTGTGTGTGTGTGTGTGTGTGTGTGTGTGTGTTTTCCAATCTGCAACTCCAGGAGATCCCACGTGTGTGTGTGTGTGTGTGTTCCAATCTGCTGCTCCAGGCCCCTCCCTGCAGCTCCAAGAGATCCCACAAGTGTGTGTGTGTGTATGTTTTCCAATCTGCAGCTCCAGGCCCCGCCCTGAGCCGCCTGTGTGCGCGTGTGTGTGTATGTGCGTGTGTGTTTTCCAATCTGCAGCTACTGGCGTGTGTGTGTGTGTGTGTGTGTGTGTGTTTTCCAATCTGCAGCTACCGGCCCCTCCCTGAGCCGCCCCTCTCCACCAGCCGGGCACGGGGCGGGGGAGCGGCGGGGGCCGCTGGGGCGTGGGAGAGGAAGGGCCTCACTATTGTGGCGGGCGGGGCCGGGCGCTGAGGCCTTGGGGTGGGGACCGGGTAAGGGGCCCGAAAGCAGAGTCGATCCAGAACTGCCGGGAATGCGGCGCACAGCGAGGGTGAGACCCCAGCGGAGTCCTCGTCCCCTCCTCTAAAATCCCCGCAGCCAGGCTGCGAACACCAGCGGACTCGGGAAACACACCGAATCCCAGCCCCGGAGGTGGGCCCGCCAAGTTCTAGAAAAACTCTGGGCATCTAACGAGAGGGCACTTGGCAGGACTGGGCACTTCCTTTCCTTCTCCCTCCCATTGTCCCCAGAAATCTTCCCATCCCTCCACCTTCCCAAGCCCTAAGGCCTCTCAGGCTCTCCTTTCAGGGCAGTGGGGGTTGGCGATGTCCAGCTCCTGAGCACTCTTGCAAGGAGGCAAGACAAGGGGTTCAGTTCCGTCCCTTATCTGAAATGGGAGGGGGAAGGGAATTATGGAAAGAATCCAGTGCTAGGTGGAGGTGGAGTTTGGTGGCCTTTGGGGAGATGGAAAGGTGAGGAGTAGAGGCCTGATTTCTGAGCGTTGTTTCAGTGTTGGACAATTCCATGCAAACTAGAGCTAAAATGAAAGAGGCTGCAAGTCCCTTCTGGGGCCCCAGATACCCCCTTCCTTTCTTGTTGCCTGGAGCAGGGGCAGTGCTGTCAGGCGAAGTGGCTACTCCTGGTGTGAACAGCCCATCCTGGCCGCCTTCCACGGGAAATCTGACCTGAGAGACAGAAGAGGAAGGAAGCAGGTGGGTGTGAAGCCAGGAAGGAGGAAAGGGTGGCACAGGACATTTGAAGTTGGGGGTTGGACATTTGAAGTTGGGGGTTGGGGGACTGTGCTGAGGAGGGTTCAGTGCTGGGAAGCAATATTAACTGTTATGGTCCAAACCCTCACCTCAACCCCAATACTGAGTCTTACAGAGGGCAGGGATTTGATGACGACCCTCCTGTGCCCAGCTACTTTCAGCATCTATCCCAGTTCTCAGAGGCCAGCTCCCCCTAAGGCTTCCCTTAAGCCTTTGGTGTGATCTTGGGCAAGTTAGTTAACTTGTTTGTTAACTGTCAAGAGGACTAAAGGAGATTACCTCATAAGATTATTGTGAGATAAACTATGTTATATAATATTCTAGAATAGTCCTTTGCACAGAGTAAATAGTATAAATGTTTGCTCTGGTTATTTTCCCTCGAGTTTGTGTATATCTGCCTGGAGCTCTGGTCCCATTCTACTTGGTTTCATCTCTGTCTTACTATGAGCTCCCTGAGGGCAGGACTCCGGGCTCAGCTCTTCTCTACATTAATAGTCACTTCTTACCCCCAAGATATTGTGGTCATACCAGGACTTGCCAAGAGGAAAGCTGAAGAGATGCACTTAGATTATCCAGTGCAATTGCTGCTATAGATAAAAGTGCAAGGTGTTCCTCTGACCTTGAGGAACTTATAGACTAGATTGGGAGTCAAGAGAGATGCAGGGAGCAGAGAAGAACATTAGGTGCTAAATCTTGGGGCACTGCTTGCTTCAGGAGCTCAGGAAAAGTATGCTCACAGAAGCTGAGAAGGGCTTCCTGATAAGGGGATCCTTTAACCAGGCCCAAGCCTATATAGCTGGAAAAACTGGGTCCATGTAGGAAGTTGTGGAGGAGGCTCACTGGGGCTGCAGGTACAAGGTGAGAGATGGTGGGAGTTAAGGCTGTTGAGGTGAGGAGAGAAGGGCCGGCCTGCCTAAAGGCCCACCGGAAAGGCAGGCAAAGTGCCCTCTCCTACTGTCCTCCTCTTACCTCCATCCCAATCTTGGGAGACCCCAGAATTTGAACTTCAGAAATTCTGGAGCCAAAAGACCTGACCTCAAGACCTGGCTCTGCCACTTACTAGCTGTTTGACCTTGGGCATGCTATTCACGCTCTGATCCGCAGTTGGGCCATCTGTAAGATGGGGACAGTGCTACCTAAGTCACTGGGTGTTGGGAGGATTGAGGGAAATAGTATCTATAAAGCACTTAACACTTCCTAGTATATTGTAATGGCCTAATACATGGAGGGGTTCTTATTGTTTTGGGGTAGCCTTTGCCACCAATGTCAGTGCAGAACTCTGGATGGCCCCGCCAAGAGGACAGCCCCAACCCCCAGGAGCCAGGTCCACCAGCCAACTCAGACAGTGACTCAGGCTACCTGCCGGGCGGGGACCCTGAGGATACCTCTGCTCAGGTAGTAGAGTTGTGCCCTTCCTGAGACCAACATGACCTCTATCCTGTGGAGCGCTCCCCTTTTCCACCAACCCTGAGGTGGTTTGACTTCATGCCTAATTTTTTGTTGCCTTTTTTCTTTTCAGGAATTCCTGTCTCTGCACCTGCTTAAAACATGGGGTTTTAACTTTAAACTCATTCACATTAATATTCATTACCTCTCCTAGGGGGTCTGTGTTGTCAAAGCAGACTCTAGGAGCTTTGGCCTCAAGGAGTGAAGGGGGTGGTTTTAAGCATAAGAAGAGAAGCTGTTTTGGGGTGTGGGGCCTCCTCAGCCCCCCTCAAGGAAGACCACAGATGCAGGCATCCAAGGCCATCCTCGAGCTCAGTGAGAATCTGGAAGGAGGATCCTCCCAAATGGAGGGCATGCTTAGAAGCTGCTCTAGATTGGAGAACAGGTGGCAATGACAAGGGGGAAAGAAGGAGAAAGGAAAGAAAAACCTAGTTTCACTCCTCCCTTTCTTCCATGTCTCCTCAGGGTCCTGCTGTTCTGGGCCTGGGTTCCCTTTGCCTGGACACCAACCAAGCCCCCAGCTGGACTGGGCTTCAGACCCTCCTGCAGCAACTCCCTCCACAGGACATTGATGTGGGTCTCCTCTCCCCATCTTCCCTCTCTTGCCTCCTCCTCCCCCTCCCTTTTCTTACTGTGGGAAGAACATCAGTCCACAAGTTAGGGGATATAGATTTAAGACCCAGCTGTGCCACTGGTTGGGGGGTGATTCTCCCCTGAGTTTTCACATTGGCAATAACAATAGCAATAGCGGGTGCAAGAACATCTCTGCCCACCACAATGCTTCATTCAAGAGCGAATGAGAAAATGGACATGAACAACTTTTGAAACGGATAATGGAATGTACAATGTAGAGAGTATGGTTGTTACGTATTTATTGAGGCTCTACATGTGCCCAGCCTAAAGGCTTACAATTCAATTGGGGAGGCAAGACAGGAATATATGAAATAATTTGAGCAAATGTAAGCATGGGAACTGATACTGAGCTCTAGCTCATTGGGAGCAAAGACCTAATGGTGACAGGGCTATGTGCTGCGGGCCTGTCAGGACCTGATTAATGACCATTCTTGGGGGGCAGGGGGAGACTGAGGTGGCCTTACATGAGCTCCTTTCCTTCTTCTATTTGCCCTTCTATGCCATTATCTCTGGCATCTCCCTGAGGTTCTACAACCTTTCTCTGACCTAGCAGCCAAGTCTTTTTTCCTCCAACCAATGCTCCATCTTGCCTGCTGGGACTCTCCCAGTCATTGCAGAGGACTGTTTCTGCAGGAGCCCTACTGCCTGGCCCTTGGGGAGGAGGAGCTGGCCGAGCTGCGGCTCTTCTGTGCCAGGCGGAAGCAGGAGGCCCTGGGACAGGGGGTGGCCCGCCTGCTACTTCCCAAGCTTAAAGGACACACCTGTGAGAAGGTATGTAGTACCCCTCCCACCAAGTTCTCCTTCCTCCACTCTTTGCCCTCTTATTTCTGCAGAATGGGCTAGCTTCTGGGACTCTGGTTGGGAAACAGGAAAAACAGAAACCAAGTTTGGGAGCTCTTGGTATAGGCTGCAGTGGATGTGGGCTTGCTAGGGTATGGTGAGAACAGGTTGGGATTGGATTAGAAGAGCAAGGAGGGAAGTTAGGTCGGTAGTGCCTACTCTGACCACCTCAGTACCTCCCCTCCCACAGTGCAGGGAGCTGCTGAAGCCAGGGGAGTACGGAGTGTTTGCAGCCCGGGCAGGGGAACAGCGCTGCTGGCACCAGCCCTGCTTTGCCTGCCAGGCCTGTGGCCAGGCCCTGGTAAACCTCATCTACTTCTACCATGATGGACAACTCTACTGCGGCCGTCATCATGCAGAGTTGCTGCGCCCACGCTGCCCGGCTTGTGACCAGGTACAGCCTGGAGGGGAAGAACTGGGGGTCTCCCCAGGGTCCAGAGTGGCAGGATACAAAGGGATACTCTACTGGCCCACAGGTTCTCCCAGTATCAGGGAGCGGGCAGAACTAGTAACCAGCCTGGGACTACCAAATTCCCTGTGTTCTGACTTGAGCTCTGGGCATGTGGGGCCTACGGCCTTTCTCGTGCCCCCATTGCAATCAGAGTCCCTCAAATGTTCTTGGACTCAGAGAATTTAGAGCAGGGACTCTTGGACAGATGCTCATCAGTATATGCCAAGTGCCCAGTGCTGTGCCTCATCATGCTAGAAATTCCCTTAATGCCAGCATAAAAGGAAGCCTGGAGCCCTGGGTTGGGAGTCCAGACCCCCAGGTAGAACTTTGGATTGTGCCACTTGCTAGCTGGGATCCTGGCTAAGCCAATCAGTCCTCCCTGAGTCCTAGAGTGGCTGAGTGGGTCAAATGGGAATGTATGTAGACGTGCTTTAGCGTTAACTGGGTAAAAGGCGTGGTTACTGGATGAATGAATGAGTGAATGAATGAATGAATGAATGAACCGTTCCCCTCTCCCTCTCCCAGCTGATCTTCTCTCGGCACTGCACCGAGGCAGAGGGACGGCACTGGCATGAGAACCACTTCTGTTGCCAGGACTGCGCCGGGCCCCTGGGCGGGGGACGTTATGCCCTGCCTGGGGGAAGCCCCTGCTGCCCCAGCTGCTTCGAGAACCGCTACTCGGATGCAGGCTGGAGCTCGGCTGGGGCACTGGAAGGGCAGGCGTTCCTTGGTAAGGGAGAGGATGCAGGTCAAAGCGGGAGGGGGCTTGGGCTGGGCTGTGGGGGTTCTCCCGGGCTGGGACCCTTGCCCCGGTCCCACGCCGTCCCGTCCCTCCAGCAGCGCCCGCGGTCCCCCACCGCACCCCCCATACCCGAGCCTTGGGGCCCGCAGCTCTCACCGCGCGTCCCTGGCTGGAGCGTTCCAAGGGCCTCTCGAACCCACCCCGCACCGCGGTCGGGCTTGCGGCGCCGCACTCCCTCCCAGGCACGGGACGCGGCCGCCCTCTGGTGGGTGGAGGCGGGGGACCCAGGAGAGGACTCCCGGCGGCGGCGCGCGCGGCCTAAGGGGCGGGGCGGGAGGCTGGGCCTCACCCCGGCTAGCTGCGGCAGTGGTCTAGCCAGGCTCTGGGAGGGAGATTCCGCGCTCTGAGACCAGCGTTTCTGATCTGGCCAGGAACAGGGGAGACTGGACCCGACCGAACTGAAGGAAGGGACCAAACCTCGCTGAACTCTGTGACCCTCTCCCGAACACTCCTCGCTGCTGCCGGCTGTTCCAGCCTGCAAACTCGGACGGGGCTGCCTGGATCCAGTCCCCAGCAGGAGAGCCGACCTGGGGACAAAGCGGAAGCACCCAAACGGCAGGAGCAATGCCGCCTGAAGACTCCTCGTCATCCCAAGGACACTCCTTTCCCCACCTACTCCTCTTCCTCTGACTCGGAACCTGAAGGCTTTTTCTTAGGCGAGCGCCTTCCCCTGTCCTGGAAGACCCCCGGAAGCCTCCAAGCAGAGGACAGCAACGCCTCTAAGAAGCACTGCACCGTGTGCTAGAGGCGCAGCTCAGAGAAGGGGGTGTGAATGGGGGAAAAGAAGTCTATAGAGCGGGAGAACAAGGCTATCCTCCCCCTAGAAAAATCCTAGACTGAAACGCAGTCATGCGCACGCCCATGAGAGGCGGCGAGGTGACAAGTTTGGAGTGCACCCCCTTCAGCACTGCGTGTTCTAGGACTTCTGGTGGAGAGCTTTTTGGCAAAACCCATTGTCCAAAGCTACGCTTCCCTTGCTGAGATAGCCCCCACCCCCACCTCCACAGGCTGGGACAGCCCCGTCCCCACCATCCTCCTCCCGAGCCAATTAAATGATCACAGCACGCGTGACGGTTACCGGCTGGAGAGCCGGAGGTGGGACGGGGAGCAGGGGACCGTAGAGCTGGGCCGCGCTCCTCCCCTCGTAGTGTTGGTGGACGCGCAGCAGGGGGCCGTCCCTCTCTTCCGATGTCGGACTAAGCGAACAGCGTCCCCTGCCGACCGGTGGCCACCGGAAGTGCCAGACCGGAGGTGCGTCATCCGCCGGCGACGCCTATACGGTTCCTCCAACGAAGCTCGTGCGAAGCTTTCTATTATGGCTTCCAGCGGGGTCCCGGTGAGCGCTGCCGGCTCGGCTAATGAAACCCCCGAAATACCTGACAACGTGGGAGATTGGCTTCGGGGC